CAGCGCAGGAGAGGAAGGGCCTCTATGAGGTGGATTGATTCAGTGACTGGGGTAATCATGATGGGTGTGTTAAAGACAGTGTGATTGGCACAGGATAGAGCAGGGTTTAGGGCTGTTGTACATAGGGTCGCTATGAGTCACAGCGACTCGACTGCACATAATAACAACAACAACAACAAGTCTCTTGGTGACCTTCCATAAAGCAGAATGAAATGTTGCCTTGTCCTGCACGATCCTCACCTCACCATCCTTCATGTTTGAGCCCATGGTTGCAGCCAGTGTCGATCCACCACGTGGAGGGCTCCCCTCATCTTTCCTCTCTCCTTTGCCAGAAATGGGGTTCTCCACTAGCAGTTGGGCTTTCCTGATGACTCATGTGTCCAAAGTAAGACGAAATCTCAAGTTCTTGTTTCTAAGCATTCTGGCTGTACTTCCTTCAAAACAGATTTATCCCTTCTTTTGGCAGTCCATGGTATAGTCATTGTTTCCCACAAGCACTAAAATTCAAATATGCCAGTTCTCCTTCTGTCCTTCTTTTTGACTGTCCAACTTTCACATCCATATGAAGCTATTGGAAAAATCCAGGCCTGAAAACTGCCCTCTGTGGGTGTCCCTGCTGTTTTCCGAAGTTGGTGGAATCGCTTCCAGCATCATAGCAACATGCAAGCCACCACACAGTGACAGACTGACAGATGGGTGGTGGAAGTCTCAAGGATTAAGATATCAGAATTAGTGCTTCTCACTCACATTTTCACTTTATCTGTTACCACAGATGGCATCCATGTGGGTGACACTCTGGTGGATATTCCCAGATATCTAAAAAACCCAGTGACACCTTGCAGGGAGCTAGGATGTAATTGGTCACCTCTGACACGTGAAGGGCATGTCAACAGTGGTTGTTCTCACACTCTGGTAGGAGCCCTGGTGGGGGTGTCTGGTGGAAGTTGCATTGTTCATCCCAAATCTTTTTTGTGGTGGTTCAAATCCACCATCAGCTGTGTGGGAGAAAGATGGGCAGTCTCCTCGCATGTGATTTACAGGTTCTGAAAACCCACTGGAGGGTCAGCTGTGATTTGGTTTCACCTCACAAGCAATGAGTTTTTTTAGTTTTTCTCACACAATGACATGGGTAAGGCAGTCTGCATGTTACAAACACGTTTTAAGCACTAGCTCAAGAATAAAACCCAGAGTGCAAAGAATCATCTTGACACTGCAGGGAAATGAAATTTCTTAATTCATAAAACAAACCACAGGGATCCATTCTGTTGTTCTGTCTGCATATGTGTATGTCCAGTGGTAGTAATAATAAATTAAGCTACGTAAAAGAATTTTTTATAATGCTGGGTAGTCTTACTGTATATATTAACCACACACAACCAAAATTATCCTTGAAAATAGTATATAACCTTTTCCATCTCTAACCTTTGGGACTTAAGTGACTTAAAAATCTCTCAGAGGAGTGTAAGCTCTTGATTCCGAAAGATATTTTATGCTAGTTGGTCATCATGAGTAACCATATTAAAAAGAATGCCTATAATTTAGTTGATAAGTAAATAGTCATTTCTTTTGCTAGAAGAGACCTGGAACTTGTCTCTCTTGATATTCTGATAGATTCATTATCTCTCTTTTTTTTTTTAACATGAGAGATGTATTACATGTCATTCTTGATCCTAAGTGAACTTGCTTGGTGCAAAAGAGAATAATTAGGTTTAGAAAATTGTAAATTACGTGCAATAAAACGATTAGCAATCAAGGTGGTATTATTATTTATTATTATTATAACAATCTATCTGTCTTGTTCTCATCTTTATTTTCTTTCATGGGTAGGTGTGTTTAGCATGAGGACCTTTGTTCCTTGCACTGCTGCTGGTTCAGAACTGACAGTTTGACTGACGCTCAGCTCAGGCACTGAGTGGCTGAGGCACTGTGCGTTGTTCTCCAGCCTTGGTCTTGATTTGTCTCTCGAAATAAGTTCTCAGAAGAGCTCCAGGAGACGGCACTGTTCTCTTTGATTTACAGCTCTCACAGCAAGTTTGTACAACACCATACATTTTTCTCAATATTTCCTCAACAAGAAGTGTCACCTTTTCCTACCCCTCCTTCCTTAAGAAGTTATTCCAAGGAGAATTCTTTCCCTGATAGGAAGGGCTGGAATGATTGATCATTCCATTCCATCTGGAATGGGCATTTTGCTGGACAACACAAGAAGCGACTACTTCCCATTTTCACATCACTGAAAGTATCTATCCCCAAGCTTTGCATCTTGTTGCTTGTTGCTGTTGTGTGCTCTCACATCAGTTCTGACTCACAGTGACCGTATATGACAAAGTGAGAGTGACCCACAGCATTTCCGTGGCTGTAATCTTTCTGGGAGCCGATTGCCAGGTCTTTCTGCACAGGGAGCAGCTGGTGGTTTCAATCTGCTGACCTTTCTGTTATCTGCTGAGCACTTCACCACTGTGCCACCAAGGTTCCTTTGTGACTATATAAAAGACCATTTAGCTGGGAGACACAGTCTAAGAAACTAATTCATTCTGTAATTCAGGGGCCTATGAGAGGCTTTGAAAAAGAAAATGAAGATGAAAAGGATATGGTGCTACTCAATATTTTTAGTATTTTAAGGCTGATTAAGTGAATTCTTTTCATCACTGCTTGTCTCCTGAATTGACTCCTAGCACTGCTGATGGATCTTCAGAGCTCAGTGAAACTGCAGGTGCCCAGGAAACATGGTCCATGGAGGCACTGACACGTAGACCTTCAGGCCCTCAGGATGTGACCCACTGTCCAATTTAAAGGTAAAATTTTAGAAAACAGCATTGTATATTGCTATTTTTCCATAGAATCTCTATGTGTATAATAACCATCAAAACGAAAAGTATTTTCATCTTGAAAATTGTGGTCCTTGAACATTTCTATTGACCCCTCAGCCCTGAACCGAAATACTTTTTTTCACTCCCAAAACTTTATTGCCTAGTCATCCCCATAGTTTGCTTTGAAATTTCCAAAGACCGAGACAAAAAGGAAACCTTCATCCCATTCTGAGGAGAAATGATTTGAAAGAAAGGAAAAAATTGAAGAGTTCAGGAACCTGTTAACATCATGCAGTATAATGTTGTTTTATGCTGTCAAGCCAGAACTGACTCTAAGCTGACCCTCCAGCAGGTTTTCAGAGGCAGTTAAATATGAATGGCAATGGAGGATATTGCCTGTTCTTCATGCAGGGAGAAGACTGCCCATCCTTCTCCCACTGAGGAGCTAGTGGATTCAAACTGCATGCCTTTGGGATTGTAGTGCAGCTTCTTAACACTAGGCCATCAGAGCTCTCTGCAGTATAGAGACACAAAAATTACATTTGTGCTTCTAGCGAGTTCTTTTTATTCAAGAACCTCCGCTTCCATTTTTCATGTAATTGTTAGGGGGAGATCCACTTTGTTGTTGTTGTTATGTGCCGTCGGGCAGCTTGTGACTTACAGCGACACTATGTACAACAGCCCTAAACCCTCCTCTATCTCTTGCCAACCTTATTGTCTCTGGCACACCTATCCCCATTACCCCAGTGATGGAATCAAATCATCTCATCGAGGGTCTTCCTCCCCTGCGCTATCCCTCCATCCTCTCAAGCATGACGTCCCTCTCCAGGAACGGTCCCACCTTGCAACATGTCCAAAATATGTTAGACGAAGCCTCAGAATCCTTGCCTCCAAGGAGCAGCCTGGCATCACCCTCTACAGGACGTACCTGTTTGTTCTCCTAACAGTCCATGGTATATTCAATACTCTTCTCCAGCACCAAAGCTCAAAGGCATCCACTCTCCTTCTATCATCCCTACTCATTGTCCAGCTCTTTTGAGGCACAGCAAGTAATGGCAAAGACCATGGCCTGTGTTAGGCACACCTTAGCCTGACATCGTTGCTCCTCAGCACCTTGGAGAGGTCTCTGACAGCCGACTTTCCCAGTGCAATTCGTCTTTTAATTTCCTGGCTATTGATACCAAGAGTGTTGATTGTAGAGCCAAGCAAACTGAAGCTGTCAACAATCTCAATCTTTTCACCATCTATCTTAATGCTGACAGTTGGCCCAGTGGTGAGAATCTTTGTTTTCTCATTGGAGAGGGACATCATGCTTATTAGGGTGGAGGGACAGCACAGGAGAGGAAGACCCTCGATGATTGATTCAATGACTGGTATAATGGGGACAGGAGTGTCACAGACAATAAGATTGACACAGGACAGAGCAGGGTTTATGGCTGTTGTACACAGGGTCGCTATGAGTCGCAGACAACTCAACGGCACATAACAACAGCGTATTACTCTGGGGGAGATTGCCCATTTTACTCCTGTAAATATCCGCAGCTGGCAGATTTGAACGGCATGTTTTCGAATTGCCAGCGCACATTCCTGCCACTAGATTACCTGAGTTCCCCACATATATACACATATATATACACATATATATATTTGTTTTCCTTCCCTTTTGGTCTGAAGAATGAAGAATGAATGAAAATTTAGTGGAGATCATGGAGGAGACCGGCGGGCTGGACGACGCTGCAGCTCAGGGCGTGGCGCCTCCCGACCGCCTGGGGGCGCCGTACTCCGAGGCTTGGGGGTACTTCCACCTGGCCCCTGCACGCCCCGGGCAGGCGACGGGCCACTGGGCCACCTGCCGGCTGTGCGGGGAACAGGTGAGGTGCAGTCCTGGCTTCTACGCGGGGACCCCAGCGCTCTGGAAGCACCT